GTGATCCCCAAAGGTCTTAGAACAACAGTATTAACCATTGGACATGAAGGACATTTAGGTGTAGTCAGCATGAAACAGCATCTTTGCACAAAAGTATGGTGGCCAAAGCTACAAAAGGATGTGGAAAGGTTTGTCAAGAGCTGTGAAGCATGTCAGTTGGTGGGCAGACCTGACCCTCCAGAGCCTGTGGCAAGTACAGAACTACCTCAAGGACCCTGATGTGCTGTCGCAATTGATTACCTGGGACTGTTACCCTCAGGTGAACACATACTTGTAGTTGTTGACTACTACAGCAGATATTACAAGGTGGCTGTTGTAAGGACAATTACATCAGAGAAGACCATAGAGTGTTTAGAAACCATATTTGCCAGACATGGACCGCCTGAAGTGCTTGTAAGTGACAATGGGCCAAACCTTGTCTCGGATAAATTCAAAGCGCTCCTAAAGGAAAATGGTATTAGGCATCACCGTGTAACAACTCGGTGGGCTCAAGAAAATGGCAAGGTAGAGAGACAGAATAGATCCATACTCAAAAGATTACAGTTGGCACATGCAGAAGGAAAGGACTGGAGAAGAGAACTGCTCAGGTATATGGCTGTTTACAGAACAACTCCTCACCAGACAACTGGACAGACACCAGCATTTCTTCTGATGGGCCGACACCCAAGAAAAAAGTTACCTGAATTGTCACAACCAACCCACAGTGATGAGGAAACCAGAGACAGAGATCAACTGATGAAATTCAAGAGCAAACAGTATGCAGATGCTTCAAGAAATGCTAAGATGAGTGAGGTGAAACAAGGTGACCTTGTACTCATGAAACAGGATAAGAAGAAGAAACTGTCCACCACATTTGAACCTCAGCTGTACAAAGTGAAAGAAAAGAAAGGAAATCAGGTTGTTGTGTCTGATAGCGACAATCCTGCAAGGGTTTTGCACCGAAACACAACTGAAGTCAAGCAGTACCACCCTACTGATGATCAGCTCAGTAATACGAAGGCTAATCAGGAGAAAAACACCCTTCCCGCTTCAGTCGAGATGGACACAGCAGTCGAATCAGGAAGTACTGATTTCCAGGAAGGTTCACCATGGCGTTATCCACAGAGGATTTACAAACCACCTGACAGATTGAACTTATAGAGACATTGAACACTTTAAGAACTATTCACATGGACATAATGTTTGTTTATTTTGTACCAAGGACTCTATGAACGATTTTCTTTGTGACCGTTTAGTTTACTCTTTGTTTATATTTCTAAAGAAGAAATGGATGTAATGACGTAATCATTTTTATATATCACGTGACCTTGCAGGAGCACATGCTTTTGCAATACCATGTACTCGACACAGTTCTTCTGATTAAATTCGATTCGAAGATGTTACACCTCCCCTCCCAAGCATTTGAGATCTAAACATTGCAATTGCTGCCTCCTGCGCCAAAAACACTGGCAGAGCTTAGGCGGAAATGGGGCATTGAAAGTTTGAATTCATCGGCGCATTGGAGACCTGATGGAGTTTGTTTTCACGCTCAAACTTATGACCAGCGTGATCCTCTAGGTCTTTCCTTGCACCCTCTAGGATGTGTGGATAAACAACCTTCCAACTGACGTTCCTATTTCTTTTCATGAACATGCAGAAGTGTGTTGTTGACTATGAGCAATTACCACATCAATTGGGAAAAAATTTTCTTCCCTTGCATTCCACAGAGCACATGTTGCTTGTTACTCCTCACGCAAATATGAATGAAAACTCGCCTTGAAGAATGCAAAGAAAATTCATAACTGTGCTGATTATTACTAACTTGACCTGATACACCATTCTTCCCAGAATTTATATATTCTCAGAATATCCAGATTTCTCCCTCAATCCTGCGTCCACAGAAAAGACAATGGTCTCCCAGATCTCCCACAGTTAGAAAACAACCTTCAGTGTGATCTGAGTACAACATTACCTTTCCACATGCTTTACGCACGTAGCCCAGTAAACGCTAATATTTATTCTTGTTTCCAAATGGCAGACACATGCACGCATGAATAAAGGGGTAAGTTTCTAAAGAAACTGTGGTGCTGCGTCGGTGGGAGAGTATAACAGGTAATTTAGTGTTAACAACTGGGTTGAAAACGTAAATTAGCCACCGTAAAGGGTAAAAAAGCTGACGTTTCGAGCGTTAGCCCTTCGATCAATCGTTCTGACGAAGGGCTAACGCTCGAAACGTCAGCTTTTTTACCCTTTACGGTGGCTAATTTACGTTTTCAACCCAGTTGTTAACACTAAATTACATGTACGCATTGCGTACCTATTTTTATCTTAGGAGGAATAAAGATTGATTGATTGATTGATGAAATCGCTGTTCTTTTTCCTGAAGGACATGAAGCAATCCAGATTACATATTAACCATGGGGAGTTTCGTTCAAGTAACAAGGTGCGATTTGTGTATGGATAATAAGTTGTTTATAATAAAAAGTGGAATTATGACATTATGATTTCATTAAATCTTTTA